ATAAAGCTTTACTGGAAGTAATAGATAAAGTTGAAAAATTGGAAAAAGAAATGAAGGCATTCAAAAAAAAAACAAATCTAAATAAATGATTAAAATATAAATATATAAATATAGAAATACATAAATAAATAATTCATATATATATATATATGGACATTGACAGGAAAGTTAAAGTAGAAGTATTATTTAAAAATAAGAGTATGAGAGAAAATACATGTTATTGTGGTTGTACAATTACTAAAATAAATAAAAATGAATTTACATTAGATAAATGTAATGAAAAAGAATGTAATTGTACTCAATCTAAATTTTATAAATCAAAAACGTGTAGAAAAAGTATGCAGAGGGATAACTCCGATTTTGAATGCATTACTACTTCCCGTTCTAATGCCAATTATATATGTTTTATACATAATATTATTATCTAATTAATATTGTAATATGGGTAATTCAAATAGTAATGTTGAAACTTCAAGTATTGATAAAATCAATGATATTGATGTAGAACAATTAGATTTAAGTAATATTGAGAAATTACAGTTGAAAGCAATAAAGCAAATGAGTGAAACATTACAAAAACTGGAGACAATGAAATGTGACAAATTAATATATACATTACCGGCGTTGAATTTATGTAGTTATAGTTTGTTCTGAATTTTCAAAAAACCACTTATGAATAAAAATTACTAATAAAACTTTGTCTATCATCATTGATGACTTCAATAGTTTATTTTTCAATCGTAATGAAATAAAGTCATCAACCATACATTTAAATGGATTTGTATAATTATTAATGTCTTTATTCATTAAAAAAAAAGTCAAATAGATTATTTGATGTTAAAATACGATTAGTAATTTTACACGACTCTTTAGATGAACTAGTATTAACAAGCATAACACAATCAATTGATAATTCTAATGGTTTATGTTTTTGATGTAATTTATCTAACTCACTGAAATTAAAAATATAGGAAATTCCATTATTAATATTAATATTGTCAATTTCAAATAATGCATATTGTTAAATATATTATTTGATTTGTAAGACTTGCACACTGGTTTAAATTGATTAATATAATTTTGATAATATTATTATTTCAAATTTTTAATAATCTAACATCACCTAAATTATAAGATAATACTACTTTTTAATGTCTATTGGTAAATCATAAAATATCATATAATATTAATATATTTATTTATTTAATTAGTAATTTTCAAATATTGTGAAAACTTGTTCATAAACATTTTATCTGGGCTCTTTTCTAAAAGGTTAATATATAAAACAACTATGCGGTTCATCAGTGGCGGTCTCATATATTTTATAAATTGGTTTCTTGCTTTCGTGTAAATTATCGCTTCTAACAATTGCTGATAATTCATCTTTTTCTAACTTTATAATAAAACAAATGACTTATATTTACTCTAATAATAATTGGTGGAACAGTTGATGACTTTTGAAGACTGACAAGCGTTGATATTCCACTATGACGACCTCTACAAAATAAAGCATTTAGCAATTTGTTATTTCTGGCTATTGCTGGATTATCAGATACATCATCCAATATCACTAATATATTAAATAACGTCTTCATTCCTTGATTTTTCTGGTATTCAATTATTTTATATTGAGTTTCTATAACTCTTTCTAAATCTTCAACATTGAACTCATCCCACCAACACGGTTCTTTATCTGTATCTACTTTCAAACCTTCTTTAATGTATTTCTTCACTGGCAGCCAAATACTATCCAAATTTACTGATGGAGACCAGATAAAAATCCGTTCATATGCACCTCCATAAATATCAAGTACAATTGATACAAGTAAAGTTGATTTTCCAGAACCAGATGGTCCGACAATCATCGCTCTCATCGGAAATTTAGGGACGACCTCGTGCTTACTTTGCTTAAAGTCATATTTGATTTCATCAATTGGTGTTACATCAGGCATAATAAAAGTAATATTAAAGATAGTTAGAAATTTATATTTGAAAAGTAACTTGTAACTAATATTAAATGGAACATCTTTATGTTATGAGTGGTGGTGAATAACATAATGGAACAGGCTTTCCATTGCTTCAATCAATAAGCATTGAAGATAATTAGTTTTGTGTCTCGCTCGCGTGTGCAATGAAAACCCCACGTGCTGTGCCCCAAGTGCGGTGCCCCGAGTATTCTAATAATAAGATTAATTTAAAATAATGTATCTTATTATTTAATATGAAAAGGAGTTATACAGAATATATTAATACAATAGATGAAGTGGAGAATATAGAACAAGTAATAATAACCGATAATAAAATTAAGAAATGCTGTTGTTATTCATTTGAGTTAATGAAGCTAGGAATACAATATATCAAAAATAAAAATGTAAATATTAATATAAATGGGAAACAAAGAAAAACAAAAAGAATAAGACAGGTTTAAGTGTTTCTTCAACTGATGAAGATAGCGGAGAAATTGTTAAAGAAACAGCAGTAATTGAGGTTGCTGGTCCTACGTGCAAAAAGATGTTAGAACTTAAAAATGAGTCAGAAATACAAAAGAAAGGAAATTGTAAATGTTCGTGTATTCCAACAAGTTTCAAAATAGGTAAAAATGATAAGAAAATGAATATTGATAAAACTAAAGACGGCATCAACTTAGAAACAGATGTCCATAATATAACTTTTAAATGAGGTAAGGATGCATCACTCTCGGATAATAATGAAAACGAAACACAGGAAACTGATAAACAAATGATGAAAAAATAGTATTTAAAGAATAGATTTAACATAATTGCACTTTATAAATATATAATTAAGTAAAAAATTACCTAAATAAATATATAGTAATGTCTGAAAATGAGAATTGTACTATTAATGACTCAATGAAGAAGATAACATTAATCGGTAAAAATATCAAAACTTTAAATGATATGATTAAATCCATTGATGAAAAACTTAAACCAGTTGAACGCGAACAACAAAGCAATGAAGAAAAGGAAAAGATTGAGAAAATATTTGAAAGCCGTGGCTTGGGTCGTCCGCAGGGCAGTTATGAAACAAAACAGAAGAAATACTGTGAAATGGTGAATAGTAATAAAATCAAACAACCAAAGCAAGAAACATTAGAGTTTTATAAAATTACAAATAATGATGATGGAGTATATGTATTATTTGAATAATTAATCTCTAAATAATTCTAATAAATGAATTTATTAGAATTATTTTCAGGCAGTGGTTCTGTTGGTAAAGTTGCTCGTGATTTAGGTTTTAATGTTATTTCATTAGATTTGAAAAATGCTGATATCAACACTGATATTTTGGAGTGGGATTGCAAACAGTTTGACAGAAACCATTTTGATTTTATTTGGAGTAGTCCCCCATGCACTGAATATAGTGTAGCAAAAACTAGGGGAATTAGGAATATCGAATATGCAAATAGTATTGTCTTAAAAACTATTGAGATTATTAAATACTTCAATGCAAAATATGTTGTAATCGAAAATCCCCAAACCGGATTATTGAAAAATCAGTTTATGGATGAGTTTGAATTTAAAGATGATCATTATTGTAAATATGGTTTTCATTATAGAAAGAGGACTAGGCTATGGAATAACATTACAACTTGGAAACCTAGAGATTTATGTAAAAAGGATTTTGGCAACATCAGGAATAATAAACATATTGAAACTGCGCAGCGTTTGCCAAGTGGAAACAAGGAAAAATGGGGAGACAATCCAATAATACATAAGCAGGAAGACTTATATAAAATACCTAGCGAATTAATTTGTGACATCTTGGTGAGTTTGAATTAGGGGGGAAGGGGCTTCCCCTTTTTGGGGGAAGGGGCTTCCCCTTTTTGGGGAAAGGGGGAAGGGGCTTCCCCTTTTTGGGGGAAAGGGGAAGGGCTTCCTAAAATCCTACAAGGAGCACCACGCCTAAAAAATACATGATGAAACTGATGAAACGACGGAGGAGAGGTTTTTCACAACTTAAATACGTATGATAGAATCTTTGAAAATGACTTAAAGGAATAAAGACTTAATATAATAAAAGGAAAATACCAATGATAGGAGTGACAGAAAAAGAGCTGGAACAGGATAGAAAGATAATATTGAGCTTCATTAAGGATAATCCCTATCCATCGTATAAACAAGTCATTGAAATAATTAAACACGACAAAACAATGGAAGATATATATCTAGATATGTTCGCCGAGTATGGAGAACAAAATCATCAATGGATAAAAGAGATTTACGAAAACATAATGAAAGAAGAACTCGTTAAACATAATGGTAATAGTATTAATGAAAGAGGAGGAATGACAGCAATGCAGTTTAATTACAATACTTTGATATCAGTGGTACGTTATTTAATACAACAAAGAGCACCAATGAAAGATTATGACGTTACCTTAATCTGGTATAATATCAGAAACATTTTGAGCAGTTCTTGGAACAACATAGGAGACTGGAAACACTGAAAACAGGTTGAAGCATATTATCTATAACCATACTATAATATTAACATGTAAAATATTATATGTTATAGTCGTATTATACTTATCGTTTGTAAAGATTGAATTATTATATGTTCCTAATTTGCTTGCGTGCTTTGGCTGTTTTGTTTTGTGGAAATATTAGGTGGACATGTGGTTTAGTATTTTAAAGTCTGAGTGAAAAATTCGTAAACAATGAATAAGGTACAAGGAAAAGATGAAGAACAACTTGAATTTCTGAGAATTGGAAAAAAGACTTAAAATACAAAATGAATAAGGATAAACAAATAGTAAAATGAAATAGGTTAAGTAGTGAAAAGATAATGGATAAGGTGTATATCTTTTCTAGGAATTACTTAGAATGAATAAGGTTGTGATTTATTAACCTTATCTATTACTTGATACTTGGTTTTTCAATGTGATTTTCATTGGTTGATAGAAAAAATGTAGAAAATAATTTCAGTTCCTTCAATGCTCCTTTCTACATTCCCCCCCCCCCCCCTCGCTTCCCCTTCGCCTCGTGGCCGCTTGGCCGGTGGCGTCTCTGTCTCCACTGTCTCTGTCTCCGGCGTTGCAGTGTCGGCCGCCTGGCAGGAAAAAGACTAGATCAACCGCTCGACGTGGAGGTCTAGGATCAAGACCTGAAAATGGAACAACGGTTGCATACTGGCAATCCACAAAAAAGAACCTGCCAAAAGCAAGCCAACTCAAAGTCAACGTCAGCCGTATGTTGTTCAGTGGGTACAAACTCAATGCCAGCAAACCTGGGAAACCAAGCCAACAACATGGAAGCTACGTTGACCCGTTTTGTGTGCATTCGTCGAAGCATGTTCCTTTCACAGAAAAAATCACTCAACTCAACAACGATGATTCAGCTGCCAGCGCTATTGCCAAGTCTGCTTTCAACTCAGAAGTCAGGGTGCGTGGGAAGCCCTCCTGTGCTTTGACAGCAACCTAGGCTAGGGGGCCAGCCAAGCTATTCCCAAACATCCAAGCAATGTCTTCCTGCGATTTTCAATGGCTTCCTGAACAGCATCAAAGTGTTCCGCTTTTGCTTTGCTTGGCCCGCCCCTTTTCCTCGCAGCAGTGAAGAATCCACGAATTAAACTTTGTGCGCCAACGCACATTGGCATGCTCTTTTGCACGATGCTTTTGGCTTGCGGCACAGCACAGCTGAAGTCCACAAGGCCTCAGGCCTTGTGGAGCAAGCCTTTGGAAGCCCTCACTGCTCACAGCTCCTGAGCTGCAGGCCCCTGCATGAACATGATGTGCTCCCCTTCCTGCACCTTCTGCACATCCTGCGACATCAAGTTGCTCGAGTCGTCGTACTTGGGGTAGTACCTGTTGTAGCGGTTATAGCCGTTGTAACTGTAGCCGTTGTAGCGATGATGCCGGCGATAACTGCTGTAGTACGGAGCCGGAGGGCCTGCGGTGGAGCTCGAAGTAGTGGGATCCTTTGCTGTTGTCGTCGATGGCGTCTGAGTAGTAGTAGTAGTAGTGGGCGCTCCAGTGGTGGGTGCTCCTGTGGTAGGGCTGTTGTAGCTGTAGCGGTTGTAGCGATAGCGGCGATAGCGGTGATGCCGGCGGTAACTGCTGTAGTATGGAGCTGGAGGGCCTGCGGTGGAAGTCTCAGTGGGGTCCTCCCCTGTTGTCGTCGGGGGTGGTGGCGATGGAGTCTGAGTAGTCGTCGGAGGGGGTGGCGCCGTAGTAGGTGCTGCAGTGGTGGGTGCTGCCGTGGTAGGTGCTGCAGTGGTGGGTGCTGCAGTGGTGGGTGCTGCCGTGGTGGGTGCTGCAGTGGTAGGTGCTGCAGTGGTGGGTGCTGCAGTGGTGGGTGCTGCAGTGGTGGGTGCTGCAGTGGTAGGTGCTGCAGTGGTGGGTGCTGCAGTGGTAGGTGCTGCTGTGGTAGGTGCTGCAGTGGTGGGTGCTGCAGTGGTGGGTGCTGCCGTGGTAGGTGCTGCCGTGGTAGGTGCTGCAGTGGTGGGTGCTGCAGTGGTAGGTGCTGCCGTGGTAGGTGCTGCAGTGGTGGGTGATGCAGTGGTGGGTGCGGCCGTGGTAGGTGCTGCCGTGGTAGGTGCTGCAGTGGTGGGTGCTGCAGTGGTAGGTGCTGCCGTGGTAGGTGCTGCAGTGGTGGGTGCTGCAGTGGTAGGTGCTGCAGTTGTAGGTGCTGCAGTGGTGGGTGCTGCCGTGGTAGGTGCTGCCGTGGTAGGTGCTGCAGTGGTGGGTGCTGCAGTGGTAGGTGCTGCAGTGGTAGGTGCTGCAGTGGTGGGTGCTGCCGTGGTAGGTGCTGCAGTGGTAGGTGCTGCCGTGGTAGGTGCTGCAGTGGTGGGTGCTGCCGTAGTAGGTGCTGCAGTGGTGGGTGCTGCCGTGGTAGGTGCTGCCGTGGTAGGTGCTGCCGTGGTGGGTGCTGCAGTGGTGGGCGCTGCAGTGGTAGGTGCTGCCGTGGTAGGTGCTGCAGTGGTGGGTGCTGCAGTGGTGGGTGCTGCAGTGGTGGGTGCTGCCGTGGTAGGTGCTGCAGTGGTGGGTGCTGCCGTGCTAGTGCTGGGGTCCCGGCCGCAGAACTTGAAATTGTTAGCAGTCTGCCCTGCATTTGGTGAGTTTCCAGCGTACAAGCAGAAATCGCCAGCGGGCGCTGTGAAGCCATTCACATTGGTGCACAGATTACCGATCTCCGCGCAGCAAGGCGCATTCGGGTTTGGATTGGTGCAATCATCCACATTACACACGAGTTCCCCCCAACACCGACCTCCAGTTCCTGTGCAGTTTGTGGAGCCCTTGCAGGTGCAGCCATCGTTGTTTACGTTGTTGCCACCGCCTTGTTGGCCGCTCCCCGCCTCAGGCCACGGAGGAGACACCCCGCCTGGAAGAGTGTTGTATAGTGCACAGTCCAGGTCCGAATTCTCACACTTCCCAGCTTCGAAGCAACAATCGCTCTGGCCATAACCTGGGCTTGGAGACAACCACCCCTGGCCACTGAAATCAACAAAAAGAAATGATTCGGGGCTTACCGACTCTCCAGGCTCGGCCAAGAAAAGCAACATTGCCCTTTCAAAACTTGCTCTCTGAGACCAGGAGCAGTCACCCTGCTCATCACATGGGTTGGTGTCATTTCCAGCACCCACACACGTGGCAGTTCGAAGGAGCCTGTTCCCAGGCTTCAGTGCCAGGGCGAACGGCACCAGCCACGCAAGCACGTGCACCAGCGACATGACTATGAGGCTCTGAGTAGGACGTGGGAGGTCTAGGATCAAGACCTGAAAATGGAACAACGGTTGCATACTGGCAATCCACAAAGAACCTGCCAAAAGCAAGCCAACTCAAAGTCAACGTCAGCCGTATGTTGTTCAGTGGGTACAAACTCAATGCCAGCAAACCTGGGAAACCAAGCCAACAACATGGAAGCTACGTTGACCCGTTTTGTGCGCATTCGTCGAAGCATGTTCCTTTCACAGAAAAAAAACACTCAACTCAACAACGATGATTCAGCTGCCAGCGCTATTGCCAAGTCTGCTTTCAACTCAGAAGTCAGGGTACGTGGGAAGCCCTCCTGTGCTTTGACAGCAACCTAGGCTAGGGGCCAGCCAAGCTATTCCCAAACATCCAAACAATGTCTTCCTGCGATTTTCAATGGCTTCCTGAACAGCATCAAAGTGTTCCGCTTTTGCTTTGCTTGGCCCGCCCCTTTTCCTCGCAGCAGTGAAGAATCCACGAATTAAACTTTGTGCGCCAATCGGCGGTGAATGCACATGGGCATGCGCTTTTGCACGATGCTTTTGGCCTTGTGGAGCAAGCCTTTGGAAGCCCTCACTTCTCACAGCTCCTGAGCTGCAGGCCCCTGCATGAACATGATGTGCTCCCCTTCCTGCACCTTCTGCACATCCTGCGACATCAAGTTGCTCGAGTCGTCATACTTGGGGTAGTACCTGTTGTAGCGGTTATAGCCGTTGTAACTGTAGCCGTTGTAGCGATGATGCCGGCGATAACTGCTGTAGTACGGAGCCGGAGGGCCTGCGGTGGAGCTCGAAGTAGTGGGATCCTTAGCTGTTGTCGTCGATGGCGTCTGAGTAGTAGTAGTAGTGGGCGCTCCAGTGGTGGGTGCTCCTGTGGTAGGGCTGTTGTAGCTGTAGCGGTTGTAGCGGTTGTAGCGGTTGTAGCGATAGCGGCGATAGCGGTGATGCCGGCGGTAACTGCTGTAGTATGGAGCTGGAGGGCCTGCGGTGGAAGTCTCGGTGGGGTCCTCCCCTGTTGTCGTCGGGCCTGTTGTCGTCGGGCCTGTTGTCGTCGGGGGTGGTGGCGATGGAGTCTGAGTAGTCGTCGGAGGGGGTGGCGCCGTAGTAGGTGCTGCAGTGGTAGGTGCTGCAGTGGTGGGTGCTGCAGTGGTGGGGGCTGCCGTGGTGGGTGCTGCAGTGGTAGGTGCTGCAGTGGTGGGTGCTGCAGTGGTGGGTGCTGCAGTGGTGGGTGCTGCAGTGGTAGGTGCTGCAGTGGTGGGTGCTGCAGTGGTAGGTGCTGCTGTGGTAGGTGCTGCAGTGGTGGGTGCTGCAGTGGTGGGTGCTGCCGTGGTGGGTGCTGCAGTGGTAGGTGCTGCAGTGGTGGGTGCTGCAGTGGTAGGTGCTGCCGTGGTAGGTGCTGCAGTGGTGGGTGCTGCAGTGGTAGGTGCTGCCGTTGTAGGTGCTGCAGTGGTGGGCGCTGCCGTGGTAGGTGCTGCCGTGGTAGGTGCTGCAGTGGTGGGTGCTGCAGTGGTAGGTGCTGCCGTGGTAGGTGCTGCAGTGGTGGGTGCTGCAGTGGTAGGTGCTGCAGTGGTAGGTGCTGCAGTGGTGGGTGCTGCCGTGGTAGGTGCTGCAGTGGTAGGTGCTGCCGTGGTAGGTGCTGCAGTGGTGGGTGCTGCCGTGGTAGGTGCTGCCGTGGTAGGTGCTGCCGTGGTGGGTGCTGCAGTGGTGGGTGCTGCAGTGGTGGGTGCTGCCGTGGTAGGTGCTGCAGTGGTGGGTGCTGCCGTGCTAGTGCTGGGGTCCCGGCCGCAGAACTTGAAATTGTTAGCAGTCTGCCCTGCATTTGGTGAGTTTCCAGCGTACAAGCAGAAATCGCCAGCGGGCGCTGTGAAGCCATTCACATTGGTGCACAGATTACCGATCTCCGCGCAGCAAGGCGCATTCGGGTTTGGATTGGTGCAATCATCCACATCACACACGAGTTCCCCCCAACACCGACCTCCAGTTCCTGTGCAGTTTGTGGAGCCCTTGCAGGTGCAGCCATCGTTGTTTACGTTGTTGCCACCGCCTTGTTGGCCGCTCCCCGCCTCAGGCCACGGAGGAGACACCCCGCCTGGAAGAGTGTTGTATAGTGCACAGTCCAGGTCCGAATTCTCACACTTCCCAGCTTCGAAGCAACAATCGCTCTGGCCATAACCTGGGCTTGGAGACAACCACCCCTGGCCACTGAAATCAA